ATTGATTTAATCGTCTATAATAATCTAATTCTCGTTGAAAATCATCAAGAAATGGAATTTTTTGATTATTATTTATCATTGAACTTGTTAGAAGACGAAGACGTAATGATAAAATACCATCTAATAATAATGTTTTGATTGCCTAGAATATCAAATCATAATAAAAAATATTCGATAAAATAATAATTTATGAATATATTTAGATGTTGAAGCTCTCCACTTTCTTGTTGCACTGTCCTTTCCATTGCATATATCAAATATCGTGAATGCAATGCAACAACAATGCACAAGAGGCTGAAGACAAAAGCATTATTAATCAAAAATAATAAACATACCATATCCAAATTATCTTCATTATTATTATTAATATAATATGTTTCAACTTTAGATGATGTTAATAATTGACTTGATTGTCCTAATTGTTCAAGTAATAATATTCTTGTTGAATTTGTTTCATCATTATAATCAGTTAATATAAGAAGTATAATATGAATTGTTTCAATAATCATAATATATTGTTCACTATATATGAAAGAAAGAAATTTTAAAAATAAAAAAAAAAAATTAACATACTTAACAAGTTTTATTGATCGTGCCATATAATAAATAGTTTTATTTGATAAATTTATTTGTCGAAGTAAATCTGTTGATGTTATATTATTTATATTTTGTTTATCATTTGAAATACAACGTATAATTTGTAAACTATGTTGCCACCATGAAAATAGATCAAGTTCATTAATATTTTTAATCATAAATTGTTGTTGTTGTTGTTCATCTTGAAATAAAAGTTGATTTTGTATATTATTATAAAGAATATATTCAAAAAATTGAATACGTATTGATTCCATAAAAAATTTTTTTTTAAATAAATAAATCTTTTTTTCATATATAAAATGATTTAAACGATCAATATCTAATAACCATATATCATTAATATCAATTGGTATAAGATATTTTAATAAATATGATATAAATATTGTAAATAATCCATCAAATTTTTTTAATGTTAATGCTGATAAAAAATAGATTTCATTTCGTTTAATTTTATTTAATTTTTTTCCTGAATTTATTGATGTATTTATTGTTAATAAAAATAAATTAAATATATTTAATAAAGATTTTGAATAATGATATTCAATTTTCCATAATTGTAAATAACAATCATTTAATTCACAATTATAATAACGTGTATCTATTGATTTTGTCCAACCAGACCAATATGTTAACCAACGACCAACAAATATAATATTAAGAAAAAAACGAATTATTTGCCATGTTATAGAAGAAAAATAATATAGATATGTTTGATCAATTGATATATAAAGTTTTTCACAACATTTTCGATAATATTCACATGCTTCATTTAATTGATTCTTTGAAAATTGAAAAAAAAAAAAGAAATTTTTAGAGTTATACTTTTATCTGATTTAGAAATATTCTAAACATATAAAACTATTTTCGAATGGTTTTGGATATTTGAATTTTTAGTGAATAGCTATAATTGTTTTATTGTATTGTCGATTGGTTATAAAGTCATTCAAATAGAGAGATACTTTCTTATTGAGGTAGTTGTTTTTTATATGTCTGTCGTCTATGGAAGAATGATTATTTTTTTTTTAATATTAAATATCTCGAACAAGATACTTTTGTCTAAGTTAAAACGATTAAAAAGTTTCGAAATCAATTGGGTTTATTAATTAATGAAATTTTAGAATTCTTTTTGAGTTATATGAAGAATAACTCTTAGTAAAAAAAAAACAAATGAAAATCTTCTTTATTAGTTTATATTCTAAAAAAATAATGATCATTTTTCAAAAGTATTTCTTTCCTTTTGTTATTATCCTATCGAATTGTATTATTAATATTAGAATGAAATAATTGAAAAAATTTTATCTTATTATTAACATACTTCATCCATAAGTGCATCTGCTTTTTTCTTATAAGTATAATAATCATCCATATCTAATTCATGTACGATCGGTTCTCCATGAACAAAAATTTTTACAAGACAAACAAGACATATTGCTATATTGAGCATCCATGCAATAAGTTGTTTCCATGATATACTTAAAAATACTATAACAAAATAAAATAATTGAATTGAATTTAAAGCAAAAAAAAAAAATTTCTATTACATAATGAATTAAAATTTTCATTATCTTTTACTGTTTGTAATGTTCTTGAACTAAGAATTGATTGTATTTCCATTGTATCATCATTATTTGATGAATGAATATGATCAAGTAAATAATTAAATGGATTTATTATAAATACACATAACATAAAACAACATAAAATTAATCGTGATCCATCAACCATACCTCGTTTACTGTTCGTTTGTTTTTTTCCTTTAAAAATAAAAGAAAATTATGAAAAAAAAAATAAAAATAATTATCTATTTTACGTTTTGTAACAGGATTATGTATTTCATCATTTGAATCAGTACTAAATGTTGATAATGGTTTTTTTGTCGAAGAATTTCTATGCGATGATTGTACATTATTATTACTTGGAAGATCAGTGCCTGAATCGAAGAAAGAAGAAATAATAAATCGCAATGTAGATAAAGGCTTTTTATAGGGAAATATAAGCTAATGCTCTTTTTCTTTTTCCTTTTTTTTTTTTTTTTTTTTTTTTCTTTCTCAAGTATACTTGCATTATCTAAAACTAATAAAAGAAGAAAGCAATCATTGCTATGGAACGAGTGATGACAGCAGCTTACTGCTTTGTGTCTATCTATCGTTTGAATGTAACAGGTCTCAAGAGACAAGAAGAAAAAAAAACGACGACGACGACAAATCAAAATGAAATAAAATAGAATATTGAAATATCGATTAAAATAATTAGATATTCAACAGATGAAAAATGATTGTAAACATACTTGTCAAATTTAATTGTTTCAAGATGTTTTTCAAGGTACTATTTTCTTCTTCTAATTGTCGATTAGTTGATTGAAGTTGTCGAATATATTCAATTGTACGTCGAAGTATACCAGATTTTTGGATCTATTCGATACGAAAAAAAAGAGAGATATTTTTCAACACATGATTAGTCTTCATTTAGTAGATGAGATAATCTAGAAAATAGACTACATCTAATCAGTAAGCTGTCGAACAGAAAAAAGAAAAGAAGAAAGAAAACCAATTGCTCTGACCACGCTATCAACTGATGATAGACTTATCTATTGCCACTCTAATCAATCTTTTTTTTTTCAGTTTTTCTTACATTGTCTTCCCCTACCTTGCCATCAGTAGCTGCTACAATTTCTTTCAATTCATTTATTTTTTCATTAATACTAGATCGATATCGTTTTTCAATTGCAGTATGTGATAATTTCCGTCGAGAACGATTACCATTTCCATTAACAATTATTGATTCATTATTATTATTATTTGTTAGTGAATCTTGATAATTAAATTTATCTGAACCATTAGAATTATGATTATGACTTGTTTGGTGAACAATTCTTAAAGGAATATTATTTGCAATAATAGTACTATTTTCAAGAAGAGTAGAAATTGTATTAGCACTTGTTTTCGATGTATTCGGAATAGCATGTATTAACTAGAAAGGATTTTAGAATTTATAAAAAGAAAAAAGGAACAAGATAACAAATGATATTATTCTTACTGTTTGAAATTGATCGAAAGTAATTGTAATTGGATCAGGTTTCTCGATTAATTTAGGAAATTGAACAGATGATTGAGAACAATTTATTGTTGGTTTTCTTGTAATAATGATTTGATCTGTTTGATAATTCAATGGATTTGTCGATGTAGACTAATACATTAAAATAAATATAGTATTATGTTTTTTTTGTTCTTGTATTTTTAAATTACTTCATGATCATCTATTGGACTACTATAGTTTGTAGAGAAGAATGGCGATTCATTATTTGTTTGTTGCTGTTGGTGTTGTTCAATTACTAATTTGAATGCATCTGGAGAGAGTACTTCATCAAATTCTGCTTGAAGACTTTGTACGTTATTGTTAATTGCTGTTGAATGTAAAGTAGTCTTATATGATGATGGAAGATTTGAAGATGTATGAAAATAATTTATATCATTTGTTAAATTATCAATACATTGAATATTGTTTGTATTGATATCAAAGTCTGAGAGAATATCATTAAGAACATTATCATCTGATAATTTAAAATCACATGTTAAATAATCTTGAAAATTTAAAAAAATTTATTTTGATATTAAAACAAAAAGATATTATCTTACCATCGAATACTGTTGAGGTAATGTTTAATGATTCTTGTGATTGAAATTCATCAAATTGATTCAAATTTCTATTCATTCTTTGCCTTACTTTGATTGTTTACATTGAAAAATAAAATCGACAAATATATTTTTATTTTATTGTTAACAATTTTCGAAACATCACGCCATTCTATGCAGATCGATATATGACTCATCGTAGTGTCAAAACATTCTTTACAACTATAATGATTACTTCACCTATTAATATTCTATTGGAAATCTAATGATATAACTATTGAAATAATTGTCAAATTTATTTGAATATTTACTGATAAGATATTATGTGAAGTTTTCAAATATTTTTATATCAAAATTAATGTAGATGTCGTCATTAGGAATGAAAAATATTAACTCTTTTAATATGTTTGTGAATTATAGATCAATTTGTCATTTTGAATGTGATATTTATTCATTTGATGTAATCTATTCTATATTAATGTTTTTGATTTATTTTTTTTTTTCGAATTACAATTACATTGATATGATTATGATATATAAGTACAATTCTTTATATACTAATAAAAGACATGAGTAAATAGAGTTTACTTTGTTGTTGACATATTGTTAATAAAATAGAAGCAAATCATTAAACAATTTTTTTTTTTTGTTTATTAACAAAGGAAAGTTTTATTGTTAATGGTTAATAAAAAAAAAAGGTAAAACTAATAAATATATGGTATCTATTGAGGATTATTGAAAAAAATAAATAAATATATATGACGATTATTATTATATATTGTCTTTCACTTGATTTGATTGAATAATTTGACCATTTTTCTGTGTAAAATTATTAAGTTTTTCTTTAATTGTTATTGGATCTGTTCCACGACATGCATCTTCAATAATAAATGTTTTATAACCATGTTCTAATGCATCAATACTTGTAAAATATACACAATAATCTGTTGCTAGACCAGCAAGAAATACTTGAGTAACTTGTTTTTCTATTAATAATTTATGTAAATTTGTTTCACTTAATTTTAAATTATCCCAAAAAGCTGAATATGAATCAATATTAGATTTTGTTCCTTTATAAATATGAATAACTGATAGATTTTGTGTATTATTTTCATTGATTATTTTCAAATCAGAATGTAATTCAGCACCTGAAGTATTTTGAACACAATGTGCAGGCCAAAGAACTTGTTTCATACGAGGAACACCAGGAATATCAAATATTGCTGTTGAATAAATTTGAAGATCAGTTAAAGGTATTGAATCATTAGTAAGATAATGTGAACGAAGATGAATATTATCAAAAAATGATATATGATCACTTGGATGCCAATCATGAGTGTAAACAATAACGTCGAAATTAATAGAATCAAGAAGATTATTTATAACTGGAATAACTTCTTCACCATTATGTTTCGATGGACATTTTCGAAGAGAAAGACTTCCATCAATAAAATCATTTTGTACATCAATAATTAGAAGAGCATTAACTGATCGAGTTGAAGAGTGTTGTTTACCTATAGGAATTGAAGGCAACATTAAAATTAAAAAAAAAACTAATTAATATAAATCATTAAAACTTTTTTGTTTTTGAAATCTATAAAAAAAAAAACGAGAGAAACTCACCATCTACTAATAAAGTATAATGAGATTTGAATAAATGTGTTATCTCATGGTTATTCTGATCAATTTTATTCAATAACTGATTGATACTATTATTGAGTAGTAATTCAACTCGATTGAGTTGTTCTGATACATTATTCAATTGTTCCTTAATTTCATCATATTCTGATGCTGTACTCACAGTTAAAAGAAAAATGAAAATTAGAAAGAATAGCAATGATTTGTACATAGTTATATGATATCTTAGAATAGTAAATAAAAAAATGATATCTACACTAACGAAACTATAGATAAATAAATAAATAAATAAGACCTATCAACACTTACAGTTATATAATTCTGATGATCGTTTTAGTCGTCTTTCGGGTATCATCATATGTTGATAGATGAAAATTTTCAATCAGACGAACTTCTTTTGTATTTATACATCATAAAACAATAATAAAATGCATACAATGCTCTTTAATAAAATTAATAATTAATAATTTATGCGCGCACATACACACACATACATTAGATCTTTATTCAAAATCAAATTTATTCAAACTATCAACAGATGTCTGAATAAATTTGATTTTTAATAAAAATCTAATAAAATTTTTTTCGTATCAATGTTATATTCACTAATCTCCTATTTTTATTCTACTGCTGCTCTTCAACCTCATTATTTATCTAGTATTTTCTTTAAGTACAAACAATAACGGATGAGTTATAAAGAGTAGGACACTTTGATCTTCCTTTTTTTGTTCTTGAAGACAGCAACACAATTCAAACACGTCATTCTAAGCTGATTTAATCGAACATGCTTCACTCTACAAAAGTATCAATTTCGCTCTTTAAATAAGGTTTTCATACCACAAAAAAAAATCGAAAATATTTACATCCACTAAGTCAATGAATTGCAACTGGCGAAACGCAAAATATGATGCAAAATACGCCGTAAAAACGCTGCATTTCAACATGTTTCGTAATTTTATAAAAAAAAACAAAAACAATAGAAAGAATAATTTTTCAAGCAAAAATTTGAAAACCACGCAAACAACTCTTTCTAGCAGCTCTATGCCATTGAAAGCAATCTGAAGATTTTCGTTGTTCGATTTAAATGTTACGTCATTTTATTCAAAAATAAATTCTACAACTGATGATATAATGATAAGCGATCCATAAAGCTTCCTAACATTTAAAAATACGATTTTCGAAAGCATATTCAAAGAAAAAAATACCACCGGATATTATTTTCAAGCTTTTGATGCCTACACGAGATCATTAGGAGCTATGAGAAGATTTTTGAAGTATCGAGGATGTAATATATTTTATCTATGATGCTTAGTACTTGACATTTACAATCGAATTTGATGAATACAAGCTTGCACCAATCATTGGATGTTGGCAGAATATAATAGGAGGTCGCAGTTAGGCAGTGAATCAATTATCAATCTTATCAATTTTTCGTCGACGAGAAATATTTATTTAAAAAACGAATTCCACATTTTTGTAAAGCGAAAAATTCTCCACCTAATGAGCCGTTAATTTATTTGTTTATCGGAAGATAACTCAGAAAAATGTACATATATTCAATGAAAAAAATTTTCTTTCATTAATGAGTTATGATCTTAATCAATACATAAAGTCATAATATTTCTTTTTTTTTCTATTCTATATTTAACGAGTCAAACTTTTGATCATTAAAAGTCTGTCTCCACAACTATTAAACAATTTTGTATTTATTTAGTTTTTACATCATTCGTTTATCGTCTACATTATTATTATATGGTTACATCTTGTGCATTAAAGAGATAGAATTATATATCTCTGACAAGATCATTAGTAAATTATATCAAGTAAACATAATTATTTCCTTTATTAAAGTCGTTATCGATTACTTTTTTGACTACATGATTTTCTCTATATCTTACTTTATTTCACTGATTATTGTAAATAGAAAATTTTATGAACAAGAGAGAGAAAGAGATTATCAATAAGTAGATTCTGTACTCGAAAATTTTCAAATCATTTTTAAAATTATTTAATCAAATGTTGATTATATTTACTTTGAAATAAACAATGATTCATAATGATTTATAAAGTCTTTGATTTCAAGAATTAACAAGTAAATACATCTAATAAATGCCACTGTTTCATAGTTCAATCGTTATATATTTGCCAAAATCTGTTTAAAAGATTCGATAACATTTAACATTTCATGTCATATTTGGAAAATCGATAATACTTGATCACTATTTTTCTAAAAGAAAAGTTGTTGCAATGATTTCAGATATGCTTCTAAAATAGCAAAAGGAAAAAGAAGAATTTGACTATAATTTACATGATAAAAAATAAAATTTTTGAACATCAGTTCGAAATCCTGACCATCTTACAGGTGTAACAGTCATACACCTCCCTCCCACGCATCTTTTTGCACAGAATCTCTTTGGTCTCAAGGGAATGTTAGTTACAAGGATGGCTTAAGTACTTTATAGTAGACTAGTATATGATTGATGGCAATTTGCTTCCATGAAGAATATACGTCTTTCAATAGAATTGAGCAACACTACAAATGAGTTTGTTAACAGAATGTTTCACGACTGAGTTATCTCTTTTTTTTGTATCTATCAACTGTTGTATTGGTTTGATTGATTAAATTCTCTTCGTCGCCGTCTCGAAGCTCTTTTGAGAGTGTGGTACAAGTGATTCTACAAATACATATAAAGTAAAACTAGTAAAACATTCAGACAAAAACAAAAAAGAGAAAAGATAACTCAATCATGAAGTATTCGATCAGCTAACTCGTTTGTAATGTTGACTGGTTGTATTGAACGACATACATTCTTCATTGAAGCAGGTCGTAATCAATCATACACTACATTTAATATTTAAGCCATTCTTGTAACCAACATTCACTTGAGACCAAAAGGGTTCGATACGAAGAGAATATGGAGGTCGAAGACTTTTGCCCATGGGTGTATATAAGATTAACTGGATAACAAAAAAAAAGATCACATACATATCAACGATTAAGCATAAAAATTTCAAAAAAAAATAAAAATGGAAGTTGATGAATAAATATATGCATTCATATCATATTAAGTATATATAAAACAACCTTCAGTATATGTTGTGATGATAACAATGTGATAACTAGTATCTAACATGACTGTGACAAAAGATTATATTTAACGATTCATGTTTGCCAATCTATAAGGTGGAAGTTAGAAATTAAAATGAGATCTTTTACAGTCCTGGTATATGATTGTTACGAAAAGCTTCAAAGAAGAAATGATGATCACGACGAACTTGTGCACGGTATACCTACAATGTGTATGAAATGACATTAGAAGAGAGAGAGAGAGATCAGTGAAATGTACCGTGCCAAATTCAACCATATCGTTTATGAATTGTTGATCATATCCTTGAATAGCATCTCAAATAGTCTTTTCTGTTTCTAATGGAATAATCGAAAACGGCAAATAAGCAACATCTTTGGGTGTATTCATACAATCGGAATCAGCTACACAATAAATTTTGGCTAAAAAACGACAATTCAACAGTATCAACTTATCTATTAGAAATGTCTCGAATCATACCTGTTGCTTGTCCCAAGTATTTCACAACTTTGAGAACGTCACTGAAATCATTTCAATCAAGATCTTCTGCGTGTTGTGTAACTTCATCGACAAGACACGGTACTGTTTCAAGTGTTGTACAACCCAAACCATTTAGGTGTTGATACTTGCATAGCATATGAGCACAAAACAGTGCGAAAGCCATCATACTCAAACAACTTTTCTAATTCTAAGCTTCGTATAATAAAACTGATAGCCGATTTCTGGGTGGGTTTCATATAAAGAATGACATCATTTTCGAGTGTTTCAGAGTGACCTTCGACCAAAATCGAATGATTAGGAAATCCTGCCGAACCAATGCCAGGTGATGGACGTGCTACGATATCTTTGACATTGTAGGAGAGATCATTTTTGGCTGTCATCGCTTGTCTTTTTATTCTCTGGAATCGATTTCAGGTATTTATTGAAAGTCTAAACAGATAAATATATTCATCATCTTCTACCTGTTCTTCTCTTCAATTTCTAACCTTCATAATTTCAGCTCGCGTGTTCTCATCAACATCTCTGATATTTTTTGATCGAATAAATTTTCGATCATAGTCGTCAATGACTGTCATCGAATCGAGATGAGCAACATGGAATTTGATTCGAGTTTCATTAAGTAGTTTCTTCACTTTACCCGTAGTACTTTTGTCGTGTCAATGCAAAATGATTTTTGGAATACTTGCAAAATTCATAGATCTGCTTCACAGATTCTTCGGCGCATAGTGTCAAAATTCGTTGAATTTCTAAATCAGAAAAACCCTTGCTGTAAGCCACTAAATTAAATGATACCAATAAGCGTTTAACATCCCATGTGAATGGTCTATAGTAACCTTCATCAAAATCATTCATATCGAAATTTATAATTCCATGATTGTCGAGGTAAGAACCGAAGTTCCCAGCATGTAAATCACCTTGATTCATTAAAATAAAAACACAAAAGTTAGCTATCGATCTTTCCTTAATAATACTACTTACATGTATGAAAATTTTGCTAGCCGCTGGATGAGTATGAATCTATAGGTCTTGATCAATCTTCAAGTCCTAGTAGAATAAGAGAGCTGAACCACGATAGAAATTAGAAGCTGACGCAGCCATTTTTCGAAATCGACCACGAAATGCCCTTGGATTACTTCGAATTCCATCGATGAAGTATTCAACAATTGTATCGATAATGAATTTCTGACGTTCTCTCCATCTGATTGTGCCCGAATGCGATCGATGACCTTCATTGAGGCATTACATTTGAATGAAAGATTACTTGACATTGTTGATGAAATGAGAAAGTAGATAACGATTCGTCTATATGAT